AAAAAAAAAAAAAAAAAAAAAAAAAAAAAAAAAAAAAAAAAAAAAAAAAAAAAAAAACAGTGGGTCCGCGTATATTCTCGGGCCAATTAATCAAAGCGGTTCCGCAACGAAAATCCCCACTAAACGAAAAAAAAAGAAAAAAACAGAAACTCCCGGCCGCGCGAGGGCTCCGGCTTTTTTTATCCAGCGCGAAAAATGAAAATAATCTCGAGCGGTTGTTTTTTCCCTCCCTCCCCGCATTTATTTATAAACATATATATATATATATACGTTCGCGCAGTGCTCCGTTAGCTCGCGCGCGCGTGAAAATAAACGGCAATCTGCACGAGCGCAAGCGTGCGTGTGTGTGTGTGCACGTATAGCGACCTGCCCCCTTTTATTTTCGTATATTAGCAGGGGGACGGAGATGCCGGGGCCGTGCGCGAAGGCTCCGCTGCTGCTTATATTATTTACGTTTGCTGGTGATGCCGAAACTACTATACAAACTCCCGAGCCGCGAGAACGTAACGATACTTTACATTATATCCGCGTGGCAATGTATATATGTATATATGTTAACGCCTCGTTAGGATGTGTACAATGAAGAGCTTTTTTGCTTTGCGAGGCATATACCTATAGTCGGAAGAGAGATTTAGAAGTAAGATGTATGTGAATTTAGAAAAAGAGACGGAATTGATTATTAACTCGTCACCGAGTGTAATAGGCGATTAGAGAGAGAGAAAACGTATAGTGATGCTGCACAGAGGGAAAAAGAGAGAGAGAGGGGCACTTGCGATGTGTGCCAAAAGAAAAAGAGAACGGGAGCTTTTGGCGATGTTTAATTAACGGTGATATTTAATCATTTACATCAAGTGTACTTTGTATTGAGATGTAAATTACTCATTTTTACGTAATTTTTTTTTTTTAAACGCGCATTTATTGTAAATTATATGGCGATACGTGATGATTTGTTTGATTTTTAACAAGTAGATTTTTTTTTATTTTTTTATGTGCGTAGATAAGCTGTATAAGAAAGCACCAAAAGTATACTCGATAACTACCGATATTACATTGTTAATTACTCGTTTACTTAAAAAATAACATTTGTTATTCACCAACTATTGATGCGCGCACTACGAATAATAATCATTACATTGTACTCACATTAAAATGACAAAAGGCAATAAATTCGCAAGATAAATCGAATCTACTATGAATAATATACTTTGCGCTGGTAACAATAGTAATAGAGCATATTGTATTATATACATACATATTAGGCGGTAAGTAATTAAGTATGTAGCGAAAGTAAAATATTACGCCAAAAACGTCACAACAGTAAAACTTTGCGATTTTTTTTTCAATTTTGGTTTTTCAATAAAAATACCAAATACGTATTAAAGACAAAAAATGAAAAAACAATAAAGTTAACAGTAATACCAATGTGAAATTACGCATAGACGTTTACAGAGCAGCAATAGAGTTGTAGCACGACAGATTTTTATTGGGTTTATTTATTTATTTTCTTTTTTTTCATCCAAGCCTTGGTAACACAAGCTTTGCTAAATTTCCCCCTCCCCCGCGGACGATCGGCTTGACCAGAATAACAAAAATACACTCGTGTCGTGCTACATCCCTTTCTTTCTTTAGTGATGTAATAGAGAGCGAGTAGTAGGTATTTCTTTTTTAAAATAGCGGACGTACAAAGAGACACTCTGCGACCGGTAGCGCAGGTAATATTATGAAGTAATGATTAACAAGTTAAAAAAAAATTTTTTTCAATATAAATAAATAAAAACCAAAAATAGAAAAATAAGTAAGTAAACACGTATTATTGGACAAACAAAGAAAAAAAAAAATGAAAAAAGTTATTGATGCGTCAGCAGTTGTTGTGCACTTACTCGATCTTCTTCTCCGGTTGCCTTTCGATCGATCATAATCGTCGCATCGAATTGCGCGTCCGCGTGCGTCGATCGTTCGGATGGTGGTGGTGATGGTGGATTTGGTAATTGAGACGATGTTTTGTGGTTTTGGTTTTTTTTGGTTTTTTTTTTTTTTTTTAATTTTGAGATAGTGGGATGAAAAAAAAAAAAAAAAGAGAAAAACCATAGTCAATTATTGGCCTTCTGAATTCAATTATGAATATAATGTGGGATAAAAAAATGGGAAAAGACGTGGATGATGCGAAATATTACAGTTCCTCTTTTCTAAGGCTCAACAATAATACACTGTGAGCATAAACAATAAAAAGATGTAGGGGAAAACGATGCTCGGATAGCAAGAATCATGAAAATATACGCGTTAGAAGTGATTCCCGGAAGTAATTTTCTCATATCCCTATGAAGAAAAGAAAGAGTACATTGCAAACATTTTGTTTCCCCCCCCCCAAAAAAAATTCAACGCATCCACCAAAAGACTTTTGCTCCTACGACGCGCCCATTTTCACGAAGCGCTCGCGCGTTAAATTTATCAATTCATTGCGCCGTAAAGATGTGACACTTTTTTTTTTTTTTTTTTTTTTTTTTTTTTTTTTTTTTTTTTTT